AATTTGGATGCTTTATGATCCTGATGATGGCCTTAAAAACAGATTTGGTCAAATAGCCGATAATTCAAAGTAGTTCTCCAGTCATGTGTGAATGATTATAAAAACTCAAACTTTACAGCTTCCATTTCTACAGGGTGTAGCACCTAAGATCCATCGGATCATATAACTCCTTTACCATAAAAGAAAAAAGCCTTAGAGCAAAATCGTGCTGTATTCCAGTGGCGTATCAAACTTAAATTTTTTTTAAGGGAACACACCATTATTTATTACTGATTTGCAGAGTACTTGAAAAGTACTTATTTTTTTTATGTAACATGTTATACCCCTAACTTTAACGGTTTCGCTGTTATAACCTCTTTTCGTCAAAATTTGACAGTTTTTCGACATTTTTTTTGAGAGAACCAAATCGCGCAGGCGGTTAATTTTTGGACTGAGGCACAGCTTAAGACCTCTTCCATAATTACATAATCTTTGTTAGATAAATAGGAATAAAACTTTTGATTGACACTCGCCATATTTTTTAAAAATTTCCAATGGCACCCCCCTAAACAAATTAAACATCTGGGTAGCCAAAACTACAAACTTTCCACTGATATAAACAAAACCACACATTCCATAAGAAAATTTAAGAGGAAAACCAAGTCCAAACGCCAATTTGTAAAAAAAAACGTTCTTTTCCAAACCCAAGTGTGCCATGATAAAACAAAAGATGTTCAATTCTCAAAATTAACAGTAAAGTGTCGGCAGCGTATGATTTTTTTAAATCAACGTTGCAAAAATGTTCCAAAATCAAGTAGGAATTGTTGATAAAGTGTTTATTCTTAGATACCGTTACCAGAATTGTTTGCTGGCATCACGAGTGCATGCTGGGCGATATCCTGGCAGCACACATTCAAATCCACGCGTGTTTCACAAGGTGTTGGATAGATTTACAGCTACTGGGAGTGTAAAACGACCAAGGAGAATTAAACGGACGCCGGTTTTGGCGGATCATCATGAATTGCAAGTTCTCGGAGCGGCTGTTCACAATCGCCATATTAGTGCGCGTGAAATTAGTACTCCCAGTAGTTTATTTATCCAACACCTTTTGAAACGCGTGTGGATCTGGATATCTTCCAACGCACTCTTGTGACGTCAACAAACAATTCCGGTAACCGTCTCCAAAAATAAACACCATATCAACCAGTTCTGCTTTTGTTTGGAACATTTTTGAAACGCTGATTAAAAAACAATCGTACACTGCCGATACTGTATTATTAATTGTGAAAATTCAACATCTTTTGTTTTATCATGGCACACTTGGGTTCGGAAAAGAACGTTTTTTTTTTACAAATTGGCGTTTCGACTTGGTTTTTCTCTGAAATTTTCTTATGGAATGTGTGGTTTTGTTTATATCAGTGGAAAATTTGTACTTATTAATCAATTATGAGTCAATTTGAGATCCATGTAAGGTCTTATTTTTCTGTGTTAGATTTTTCTTTTATAGGAGTGTTAATTTCAATTCAAAATTTGAGTAGTGATTTTATTGGAATTTACGGATTTTGATTTACTCTTTCAGCTCTTTCAAGTTTATAAAAGTTTTAATACGCAATAGTGCAAATTATCCGAGACATTGGAGTGTGTAATGATTTATGTGGATTTTTGCGAAAGTCTTTGGGCCCAGAGCACACAGGCCCCATATCAGTTCTTGGATCCCTGTGGAACTATACATAACATTATAGCTATACAATCGTTTTATTTTAATAGTTTCCCAAGTCCTTGTGCCCATATGCAATGACATTTCCTAACATAACTTATTTCTAGGGGTTCAAAGATTTCAATGGGATCCTACCCTCAAAAATTATTTGCGCTATCTTAATCCCACTTTCAACATGCACAGCGCAGCATAGGATTTTACTAACACATTTTCCTGTGTTTGGGTATGTCTCTTAAAATGTTAACACAATTTTTATTCCCATTCATGAGATTAGAAAAGAGAGAACCTTTGAATGTAAGCATAACATGAATATATCGAGTAGGTGTGCGGACGGTTTGACCAGGAAAATTCGCCCCGGTAAATATTAACCTCGAGAATGGGCTCCCAATACATTTGCACTGCAAAATTTGCCTCTAAAATGTTTGCCCCTGGCAGATTCTTTCTCGGAAGATTCGGCACAAGAAGATTCGCCTTCAAAAGTTCTGTTCTTGGAATATTCATCTCCACTGGAGGAAGTGTCATTGCATTGGGTCCTAGAACATTTGACCCAGAAAGAAATGTATGCTCGGCATATTAATCGTGCAAAATATTTGGGCCTGACTCTTGTCTTCGAGAAAACTTGCTCCCAAAAGGTTATCTCTATGAAAACTTGTTCACTGTATCTTTTTCCTTAAAGAAAATTCGCTTCGCGTATCGTTTGATACTTCCGAAATGAAACGTGACTACCGTCAAACCCGAATGTTATAGCCCATGTTTAGAGGGGATCTTTTTGCTTTTTTGCTTTTGGTGTTTTAACCGAATAGTAAGTTCATCTTTCTGCATATTGCACTTTCACAAGCTAAAACTCCGTCGTCAAGTTAGCAAATGTGTAAATTGGTACGGATTTACAAAGCTTCATAATAGCACAACGTTAAATTTAATCAACGAAATATTTCAGCTTAAATATCAGAAAATTATCATTTAAGAAGGGATTTTAATCCATTTATTTCATTAAAGCAGATACTTGGAAGTGGATGCTGCCATTAATTATGGAGGCAAGATGCTAGAAAACAGGTCTCCGAGATACATTAGCGGATTAATAAATTATAATGCCGAATGCGTATCCATCGCGTCGGCCGAAAATGTAAGCAAAACAACAATCCACCTTCTGCTATTATTACAGTGAAATAATAAACTAGTTTGTTCGAGCGTAAAACCCTAACATAGTAAAGTTAGAAATTTTAAATAAATTACCGCCAATTTGCTCTTGTTTTTGTATGAATAATCACAGAATCTGCTCGCGTAAGCTAAGGATTCGGAATATTTATGCGCCACACTGAGTTCTCAACCCACGTTATGGTCGATTGCACAATCTCCTTCTTGCGCAGGTTTTCTACCGTTTGGAATCTAATAATAGAATATTAGTCTGGCGAAAATCATCAGGTCCATTCGGTCACAGTCGTAAATGTCAGAAATATCGATGAACGCTTCCAAAGGTGCGTCCATCAATGTTAACATTGCGAGTACACCAATTAGTCATTTACGGAGAGCAATCCGTCAACCAATCACCATGAAAAGTTCTCGAGCTTTACACGTCACCTGAACCGTATAACTACCCCATATGCCAGAGAATCGAATGCAGTAAACCACATAAATCACCAAGGTTCGCTTTTTACATTGCAAGTCCAGGGTGTCTGGGTTTGATGCCTTATTTTACTAGTTTTGTGGAAAATTATCTAAAGTACCTGCTAAATTGGAATTTAGTCAGAATAATACAGTGGAAATGGAGTAAACTCGCTTGCCGGAATTATGAATTAAGCAAAATCCAAAAGACTAAAAAGCTAAAATGCAGTTGGAATGATATTAGCGCACGAAGTTTGCAGAATAAATATATTAAAACGCCGTTTTGAATACCGCACGTTTATACAATGACACCATTTTAGTTACTAACTAACTTAGTATAAAGTTTCTACGTGTGAGTCCATTGCTGAATAATAGATTCTGATTCTACGTCCTTTTGCTACTGTTTCAATTATACTCTTCCAGTTCACTTTGTGTTTCAACATGAGGTCACTCCAACTTTTCACTGACTAAATGTTAACATTTGCAATTTCTATGCAGTTGAAACTGTTTCAGATTGGCGACGTTTTCAATACGCTGCGGTGCGCGGTTGCAAGTGGAAGTGGTCGTGTGTTTGAAAGTGAAGTGCATTGATTTACCTTTGAAAGCATGTGCTCTGTGGTTTAATTAATTTGGATTTTGAATTGAAGTCTTAAAAAGACAACACCCGTGCTAAATATTTATCACCTTATCGAAATTGCCCAAATTTGTCAATACAATTAGTTCAGTTTCAAGAGTAAAGTAAGTCCCTACTTAAAGAAATTAAAATTATGACTCTTAATTCTTCTTTTATTAATATTAATTAAGAATTTGATGAAAGGTTTCCCGAATACTAATTATTTCAAAAAATTGAAACTTGTGGAATCCAGAGGATCAAAAAGATTCGCTCGTTTCTAACTTCGGCAGTCTTGGAATGAAAAATGTTCAAGAAACCGAGGAATTCAAAGGCATAGCAAGCAACTACATTTAATATATACAGTTCATTAAATATCAAAGCACATATATTTTTGTATTCAACAGGAGGTAGAACCAATATACTTTCCAAAATCAGCAAGAGTTTATGATTAAGAATCCAAACGTACTTTAAACGAACACTACAATAGACCTGGTTACAGCCCTTTGAATTTTCCTTCGAAATTGGTCCATAACTTGTGATTGAGAATTCTAATCAAAAAAGTACGAATCGTTTTGGATTCTACGAACCAAAATTGTTAAGAAAAAGTGTTTTCCCGAGAAATTTTGGTGTAGTCGATTTTTGGTAAAAAAGGAAGGTAATACACTGCCTTTTTTTGAGGCCCCTAAAAAAATTGTCTCAGATCGACCGGAAAAAATCATTTTCTTATAGAATATGGCCTGTAGATTCTATAATTTCAAACAGTTTCAAGATTGGGCTACTAGATCAAAAGTTACAGCCCTTTTGAATTTTCTTTCGAAATTGGTTTTTAGTCCTAGATTTTTGGTAAAAAAGGAAGGTTATACACTGCCTTTTTTTGAAGCCCCAAGAAAGATTGTCTCAGATCGACCGAAAAAAAAACATTTTCTTATAGAATATGGCCTGTAGATTCCATAATTTCAAACAGTTTCAAGATTGGGCTACTAGATCAAAAGTTACAGTCAGGACAATAGACATTACTGTAATTCACGTCAAAATTCTCGGAGCAACAAAATCGACTAGTCGTGGAGAACAATCAAAAATAAAATTTGAAATTGTCACTTTAGAACCGAAAACGTAAAAAAAATCCGCACCATGACCGAATTTTCGATGACGACGAGAAGCGGCGCAAGACGCGCGCAATTAACGCTAACGAAATCGCTGAAAGCGACGCGCAAAAGGCAAAAGAGTCAGAGCCGCAGATGCTTGTGTTTGCCTCAAAATTTGGGATTGCTCGAATACTCGCCCGTTTGGAACGAGTTGCGTACCAGCGGGCAGTGCTGCGACGGAACCGTAACCTGCTCCGATGGTACCGTGTTTCAAGTACATCGTGTAATTCTATCGGCGATAAGTACCTATTTTAGAGTAAGTGTGACATCCAGTTAAAGTCCGCGTTAATCTGCTATTTCAAGGCGCACTTCACAAACAGCCTCAACCCAGGAGCATCGGAAAACACAGAAGCGAACGTCTCGATGCCCTCGAACATTTTTAAGTGCATCCTGGACTTCGCCTATACCGGCTTTTGCAACATAGAAGAGAGCAATGTGGAACATCTGTTGAAAGCAGCCGACCAGTATCAGGTGTTGGGGGTGATACAATTGTGCTGCAACTACGTGCTAGGTAAACGCGTCGAGTGCGTCGTCGGGATTCACCCTGTTTTTGCTAGATCGGTTGAATCCGATGAACTGCTTCGGAATCTTGCGATTCGCCGGCCATTACTTTTGCACAGAACTTGAGAAGGAAGGCAGACGTTTCGTGAGGAGGAATTTTGAGCGAATAGTCAACGAGGGGAGTGAATTTTGCGATTTGAGCGTCGATGAAGTGGAGGCGGTCTTAGACGACGACGAACTAAATGTGAAGTGCGAAAAGTTGGTGTATCACGCGGTTAAAAGGTGGATCACTACTAATCCGGAAACGCGAAAGGGGAATCTTTTGCGACTACTGAAATGCGTACGATTCGGGAACATCGCTCCGGATTATATTTCTAGGAAGGTGCTTACTTGGGACTTGGTGGCTGATTGCCAGGTAAAAAGGCATCGGGGTAACTTAATGCTAGCGTTTTGCTTTAGGAGTGCGTGGTGTATTTGCACGACGTTATTGTCATACTGGAGCACGGCAATGGAAATGAGAGCCACCCAAATCCACTGTGGAAGCCCAGAATTCCCTACATTACCCTATTTGCCATCGGGGGTTGGAGCGCTGGGTGTCCGACGAACATTATCGAAACGTACGACTGCCGTGCAGACCGTTGGCTCTTATCCGCCGATAGGGATGATTGCGGCCCAAGAGCGTACCATGGTCTTTGCACATTGAACGGGCTTATTTACATGATAGGTGGATTTGACGGCAACTCCCATTTCAATTCCGTCCGTTGCTTCGATCCCGTGAAGCACAAGTGGAGCGAATGCGCGTGCATGTACTTCCCCAGGTGCTACGTCAGCGTCGTAATGCACGACAGTAAAATTTACGCGCTTGGAGGCTACAATGGAAGAACAAGAATGAACTCAGTTGAACGGTATGACCCCAAGATAAACCAGTGGGAGATCGTACGGCCGATGCTTAAGCAAAGATCAGACGCAAGCGCCGCCGTATTAAACGACAAGGTGAACTCTTTTAACCCTCCCTTAAACGCCTTACTTTGCACTTCAGATTTACATAGTTGGAGGTTTCAATGGGCACGAGGTAATGAGCTCCGGGGAAGTATACGACACGGTCTCGAATCAGTGGACCTACATTCCCAGCATGCTCTCCCCTAGATCGGGCGTATCGCTGTTGCCCTTCAAAGACTCGCTGTACGCCATCGGTGGGTTCAACGGGCACGTGCGACTTGCAACAGGAGAGAAGTACACACCCGGCTCTTCGGCCAACTGGGTCGGAATCGCCCGAATGGTGCACCCGAGGAGCAATTTCGCTACGGCGACAATAGACGACTTGCTGTACGTTATAGGCGGATTTAACGGTAGGTGAAGTGCGCGATTAAGAAATTCAAATCGTTTTTAGACCAACTAGCAGGTTCAAGCACGGTAAACGTCGTGGAGCGCTACAATCCCGATGCCAACGAGTGGCACATCACCTCCCCAATGAACCTGAATCGCTCAGCGCTTAGCGCTTGCATTCTCAACGGCCTCCCCAACGCCAAAGATTACAGTTACCAGTTTAGGCCAAACGAGGAAGGTCAGGGAGCCGGAATGCCTCTCGAGCTATAAATTGGTCGCCATTTTATTTTTACAAAATTTTAAAACTATTTTAATGTAGCGGTTTTCGCAATTTTATCTATTTTTGCGCACTAGCGTTTGGCATGTGCCACTTTTTCTATACGCTTCACTTGTCGAGTGAAGACTTCCATCACATCGAAGGGATCTATTGCAACTTTTACAGAGTGACGCGTTGTAGCTTCTCCGATTTGAAACAAGGGATTGGAAATGTTGTAATTATATTTACAATAAAGAAATCGAAAACATTACAATTCCCGTAATCATTAAGTGTTGTAAATTAAAATAATTAGTGGAAGTAAGTTTATTGAACAAATACACGATGTAGCAAGAATATTTGAGGAAAGAAAAGGAAGCAACAAAAAATGAACGGGAAGCTAAAACAAGAAGTAAAGATTAAAAAAGAAGAAAAGGGGACGAATATTCAGGAAGAAATTGAATTAGAACAGTATTCCAAGGTATTGAGCGAAGAAGAATTTGGCGAAGACAAAAAATGTGGAAGAAATGGAAAAATTACCTCAACCAAATGAAGAAATTAGTCTCAAAAATAAAAGTAATAAAGAAGTGAAGAACTATACTACAGGATTTTTGAAGCAGGGGATGATCATAGAGAAGAAGAACTCAGTGCTAACGATAGGAAAAAGTAAAATGAATCGTGAAGATAAAGATTTGAAGAAAATTTGGAAGGATTTCAAGAACCAGTTGAAGAAACGAGATTAAGTGGAAGGTGTATGTTTTCTAGATAGAGTTGTGTTATACAGTGTGTCCCAGGCTGAACGCTCCATAAGGAAACGGCAATGTATTTTTTCGTGGAGGACTTTGAAATTAGCGTTCAACACCATCTCCCATCTCTTTCTAGCATCATGCAATAACGTACGTTGAACTTCAAATACATATCAAAAGTTTCGTGGATCCTTCGCAAAAAAATACATTAATTCTGTTTGCCTGTAGTGTATTCAGACTGGTACACACGGTATACGGTAGTATAGTAAAATTAAGTAAAGATTAGGCTAGTTAAATGAAGTGGGGTTTATTTTTTGTGGTTTATTGAAGATTTAATTAAAGTAGAAAAGGGTTTTTAGATTGAAAATACTTTTTTTAGAATTTATTGGAATTAATTGTTAGATTTTGTAATTGCCATTTTTTAGGTAAGATGTTTTTCAGTAGAATTTGTGATTTTTTTAGACATTTTTAAACTTTTTTAGGGAAAGCTCCCGTTTCTTTTATTGTTGTTTTTCAAATCACAACAGGTTTTCTTCATTTTTAAAAACAGAAGGGGGTACTGTAACGAAAGCGTTTATTGGTTTGGAATTTTTGAATTTTTTCCGCAATAATATTTTTTAACTACCTGCACGTTAGAAAGGAAGTTATTACATTGGGGTAAAAAATGACCCCCTCCCTTCAACTTTTATGACTATATATACGTTTTAAAGTACCAGGAATCTGAATCAAACAAAATCTCGATGACAGGGCCGATTAATCAGCATAACGCAAAGTTACCGGGGAAAGCGCTAGTCGGGATTGGTAGAACTAAGATCCTTAACCAATTGGAATTAATTAATGACCGAATTTTTGGGGGTGCTCAATTATTTAAAGATTGGGTGGGAATTAGTATTTGGCTTAAGACTCAAGGCGACCGGTTTAGGTCCTGATAGATTCCGAACCACTAGACCATTAGATAAGGGCCAAGTTCAAAAAATTAAGCTGGTTTGATCGGGAATCGTCTTTTCCAAGAGTTACGGAAGTTTGAAAGGTCGTGGAGGGAGTGAAAACTTGAATGATGGAAGCTCACATTAAAGACAAAATTGAAGGGAGGCGTGAAGAAAGAGGAAGTTAAAGAACTAGGTGTGAGAAAATTAGATAATTGTAAGAGGAAAGGGGCAAAAGAAAGAGTGTGCAACAAAGATGAAAGGAGGAGGCGTGAAGACGGCATGAAGCATGAGCGCCCGCAGATTGTAAAATGTAACCTCCATTTCACACATATAAATAATTAATAATAAACAATCCGTCAGCGTACGGTCAGGTCAGATCATGAGACATTTACAACAAAGTATGAAATTCGAGTGTAATAGGTAATTACATTTACGGTATTTCGCGAGACGTATTCCTTTCCGTTTTAAATTTAGTCAACTTGTACAGTATTCGTGTACAGGGTGGTCCAAATTGGACACTTTCTTATGGCAACACCCTTTATTTTAAGAACTAAGAAAATGTGGTTTCAAATAATCGTGCCATCTTTTGTTGGCCATGGAAACAAGTCGGCAATAAAAATTATTTGATCTATAAAATGCAATATTGCAAATAATATTTTATATAAATCAAAATTTAAGGAATTTGTGGAATCATTAAAAATAAGAATTTATTCTATATCTAATTTGTATTTGTTATCAGTTGCTTGTGATAGTTCGCTAAAAAGCCCTATGGGGGCACTGTATAGTTGGGCGCAAGCCTATTGAGGGCCCAGAACAAGAGTTAATATAATATAATAAATAAACCAATTGAAATGCATTTGGTAGCGCCATGCGAAAATTGATGACAGAAAATCTAAATCAGATACTGCCGCCTACCGAGGCGATAGAAGTAGTCTTTTACATAAAGCAATTGTGTATCTGTCACAATATTTCAACAGAAATGCTAATTCGAAGCGCTCAAAGTAATACATATTTTTGTATCAAGTGCCAGACAAATTTATCTTACTTACGCCCGCTAAGATTTATTAGACAGCTCGGTGTATTTGGAAAATGTAGTGAGCATCCGATTGAAAGACTGCGCCCTCGCAATTAGGGGCGCAAAGGGTTCTTTCCAGCTGAGATTCTGCCAATTTCTACGCGTCGGCGACGTCGAATTATTAGACATCTGTGACATAGAATTTTGCCTTTTATATCGAGATAACAATCGTATTTGTATCTCGAATAGTTGCCGCAATTTCGTTATTGGAGATATAAAATTTAAATGTAAATCGAACAAGCGGGCCGATTTACATAAATCGAAGTTTGGTGACCCTAAACTTTCGCAAACTAGTCCATAAACAGTTAATCCAAAACGTATTATTTGGAAACTCGTCCGACTATTTCAAACGGCAACTGTAATTTCTTTGAGGGTTTCCTTCGTTCTCGGGAGTCTTAGAGCTGCTACAAGAAGTTATTCAACTGTGGAAGGTTATTTAAAAAGAAGCTGGAGGAATATTTCATGAGTTTGACGTTAGGAATTTGTTCAGAATGACTACCATGTCGCCAGGTAGTGAGATGAGATCTTGTTCTAGGTCCAAAATTATGCCGAGATATTTGTTTGGATTTAATACTGACTTTTGCCAGGTTCACCTTGCATCCTAACCTCTAGAAAAGGCCTACCACCAAATGGACCTGTAGAGGCATTCTACTAATAGCATATGAATTCAGTTTCAGTATTTGTTTTTCTTTTTAGAATTGTTTGTAAAAGTGTAATAGTTTGTTTAAATTTTATCGTTTTGTAATTATTCAATTTAGATAAGCTGTAAGAAGTGGGACATATCTGATCGTTTGCGATAAGAAGCTTTATTGTTAGAAGAAATCTAATTAACTCCCGTGTTCTGGTGGTGATAACAAAAACGCAAGTGAACTCCCGTGTATTGAGTGCCTTCCAGAAAAGGACAGTGCGTATTGAGGGAGGACCTAGGTATGAAATACCCTCCAGCACAATACATGAGGGATCGCTTACGTTTTACCAAAATCAACCATGGAAGTTACTTGCGGAAAAAGGTCACGAAATCTTTTCCTGCTGGGAGATGTTCCAGGCGCCCCCTCCCTTCCCCACAATACACAGGAGAAATCCTTTTCCCTTTTCCCTTCCTAAATGAAATAGACATTTACATTACTGCGTTGTGCGATCCAGAACTAATCAGAACTACAAAACTCCACTGTAACTGTACCTCTTGCACTTAAGCAATGGTATTTTCCTTCGCATCCAAAGACTGGACACTAAAAACCTATCAAGGAGGGAGAGGGCAGCATATAGTGCTCATTATGCAAAGGGGAAAGTGGTAAACATTGTTACAGACAGTGCTTACGTAGACGGTGGTTTTTTGGTGTACAATTCCCAAGAACAGCTTTAGTTCCTTTGTATTAATCCTGAAAACAATGTTGCCCACCCTTTTTAAAGTTATCATCTTTCATAATCTTTTTCCCTACGTCGAATTTACCGTACTATCGTCATGTCGTGTACTCACTTTGCAATGGAACGGTATTTATTGCTGCATTCACTTTCTCTGTCCGTTTCTAATCAAATATTCAACAAAATACCCTTTAAGGCGTCCCTGTGGTCTGTTTAGAGCTTCCTGCCTTTGGAATGTAGAAGTGTTGAAAACTGACCTGTAGTGTACAGCCACAAATAATGAAAATAAAATAATTCTTAGACAGAAGTTCAGATCATCCGCTTTTGGAAGGTCTCAACCATTGCTAACTTTTGTAAATAGGAAATGCATTTCCTGCTCGATCGTCCCGGGCATACCCAACTTTGGTGACCAACTTTCAGGCTATAAATTTACCCCTTGCGCTCCGGTATCCGCAAGAAACTAGTAAACTCATTATTTTACGACAATTACGCGTACTAAAACCTAATGCGCTTCCGACAGCTTACCGAAAAGCTCATTAAAATTTACTCATCGTTAGAAAGTCTATAGAAATTTCTAAATGAAGAAGTTTAGATCGGAAATTCCCTAAGAAATTCTATTAATGCGGGGAAAAGTTAAATAAGTTTCGTAAATACTTAATTCCTAATTAACGTTTCGCTTCCTGTATTAAGTACACCCGTGCGCCTTTTATTAGATACGCGTCTTCCGGATGCTGTACCGGCGTTCAAACATCGACATGTTAATTATTAACTTCTTTACATTAATCCTTGCGCCATGAATTGGATTTAAGTCGACGGCAATAATTTACATTCAACCTTTAAGTGGTTCGATATAGATTTTGATTGCGTGATAAATTGGTTCGTTATTTGAGCAATTTTAGTCGACGCTTCCTTTTCGCCGTCGTTCCTGTTTTAAGCCCATTGTCAATTGTCCGAGGCAATGATTTATGGCGGTCATATTTATTGGTACTTCAGAGACAGGCAGCATTTATTGATGCACTTGCACAATGGTGGATTTACGCATAGGTTGGGTAAAGCCTAGGGCGGCTAAAAGACAGGAACGCCAAATCTATTTAAATAAAAATGAATGTTTGGTATATGTAAGTATGTATGTCTCTTATATTGGGAATCATTTCACGTTCTAATGATTTTAGTTTTATATTCTGATTTTATGTAAATGTTTAGTTTCCTTAATTTGTGTTCGTGTTCGTTTATTAAATGTGAATTACTTGATCCAAAAAACCTTTCTATTTCTATTTTTAAGTGTAGTGTATTTCTATTTTAAGTGTAGTGTATTTCTATTTCTAAGTGTAGAATAATTTGAGCATTACAAATTTTAGAAATTCACAGAATATCAAACTGGGTTGAATTGCTTTTCCAAAAAATTATATTCTTTGTGGAATTTTATAGAATAACTTTAATTCCATGGACCAATTGGACAAGATGGCGGCTGTCCGTAGAGAATACGCAAATCTTTGAATACTAAACCGGCAAAAGGTGTTCTCTCAGGTCACCCAAAACAGTTTTCTATTGGACTACGGTCGTAACATTACGAGTACTTCATTAAGACAAACAAGAAAGAAATCTCATTCCATGATTTAATGTCCCATTCCGGAAAAGTTGCGAAGGGATCAATCTTTGTTGATTAAAGCTATTT